TTTCCCCTGCTACACCCATCAAACTTTAGTTTCACGAATCCACCAGGTGGAGGGGTCCAAGCCACACTCATTACTGACTTAGTCTGTGTGCAACTTGCAATTTCACCCCACTTCCTCAACATGTCATCCACAGTGTAATCTGTGAAGCTCCAAAGATTTCAGCCACTGTACCGCCCTAATATGAATGATAGCCCTCAGATCTGCTACTCCTCTCTGAGCTTCTGAGAATATCCTGGAGTTTCTTTCTTCCCAAAGWRTCCAACATACTGCAGCCCTTAGTCCTCTCCACATTGTCCTTCCCCTTTTTATCCGCCACCTGAAAAGAGAAGGGGAAAAAAGGCCCTGCAAGTCTGATGGGGGATTCTAGCTACATCCAAATAGGGACAAAGCCCATTCCCACATTGACCTCGCAAAATGGCAAGACACCAGGAAGTGAAAACCAGTCTCCCCATCCGCTTTACAAAGAACACACCATTGAGGTGACAAACAAGTATTGGGTCTTGATGGGGGGGTGATTTGGCCTGACCTCGCAGCACGGGTACACGTGGGCGTGACCTTGCTCAAACAGTGACTCAGCATGACAGCGCAACGGACATGACCACAACTCGGAGGGAAGGTCCCACCAAGTTCAGCTCGGCAACTGGGAGGATAAACTACTCGGCGGAAGCTGCCTTACCCGCACCTCCTCCCCGGGGTTAAGACACTTCGGGGCATCCCGAGTTCGGGGCGCCCTGACCTCTCTTAAGGCCCGAGCTCCTCCCAATGGACCTCGAGCCCCTCCCAGACAGGAACGCACCAATCCACCTCTGGATACCCCGAGGCACAGACACCTCGGGTCAGCCAGCTCGGCATAACTTGCTACAGGCAGCTCGTCACCTCAGAGGCAGCCCGGCGCAGGGTAACCCGCGAAAGGATAGTTCGGCCTACCGCCGAAAGATCTGCCCAACAACCATACCCGACAAATCTGGGGGCAGCAGCCATGTCCCCCGTCAGGCATCGTCGCGCCTGTCACCTTTAAAAGGTGCCTTACACCTGACAGGCACGTACCCTGCGACGACGGCCCCGCGCGTGCCACCTCACCCTTGCCTGTAACGGCTGTGGCAGACTGACAGTGGCGGTTATACCTGCCCTGTCAGAAGCCAGAGGGCCTGATGCGATGGAATTCTGTTATAAAGGGCTTATTCTCAAGGAACAGGGTATCTTCGAACCATTGGCGCAATCTGCACTCTTAGCCTTCGTCCTCCTTTTGCTTCTCACACAGAATACTGACTTAATCGTCGGAGCGTTCCCGCCRGGCAAACCCCCCGGGAATTCTTCTTCTTCCTCTTCGTTTCAGGTACCTCTCAGGAGCCACGTGAGTGCCAGCTAGGAGTGACCGGATCGCGCTACATCATTTGGCGCCGTCTGTGGGAAAGACTTCAAAAGGCCTTTCTCTCTAAACTTTCACAGCTCTTTTCTTCCTTGAAAAAATTCAACACTCATGGCTTCCTCAAGTAACGTTGGACGAAGCATGGAGATGGATAACTCCAGGGAACAACCCTAGGTTCCCACGGTCTGCATAGGACAGTTCACCATTCCTCTCCCGGTGGACAGAGTCCCCAGCCTGAACGTGCCGCGAGCGACGGCGCCTGTGGGTGTTCCCCTTCCTTCCTCTGTGGAAACAACCTTTGCTGAACCAACTGTTGTTCCTCTGGCAACCGGCCAGAGCCAGCTCGATGACCTGGTGCAATGCATGCGGGCCATGCAAGCCCAATGGCAGCAGCTCCAACAACACCAGCTCTATCAGCAGCAAGTGCTGCACCACATCTCCCAGTACCACTACCAGCAGCAGTTCCCCCAACTGCCTCAATCTCAGCTTCAGCAGCCGCAGTTCCCGCCTCGGCACCTAGCCTCGCAGCAAGCTAGGTCTCGCCGCCAGGACGAGCGCCCCTCTGGCCAAGGAGAGGCCCCCCAAAACCTCCCAAAAAACCAGGCCTCCCCCCGCGGCAGACGAGAGAGACCAGCTACCCCGATCGCGCAACGGGCAGACAGGTCGGAAGGACCCCAGCTCGCCAGGTCTACATCACCTCGGCAGTCAAAGTTTGAAACCCCGCTCCTTGAGAACCGGTTCGAGATCCTGGCAACAGACTCCAAGCAGGATCCCTCTGTCCGCAGCCATCACCAGCAGACCGGGCTACTTCCTGCACAAACCATTCCGGACAGCGCAGAGGTGAGCAGCACGAACGCCGAGCCCACCAAGAAGCAGAGACGCCGCCGCCAAGCTCGCCGATCTGTCACCCGCGATTTGCCCGAGCTCAGGGGCAAAGAAGAGGTAAGCTCGGCCGAAGTCAAAGCTCCCCTCCTCTCAGTTCCATCCCCCATGACTTTCGAACTCCTGGCAGTCCCAATGCCCAAAGACTTCAAGCTCCCCCCTCTTGACAAGTATGACGGGTCGTTTGACCCAAATGATCACGTAGATGCCTTCCAGTCACAGATGCACCTGGC